CTCGCCCGTATCAATCGGGAATCCTCCATGTCTCTGACAATGTAGAGCCGGCTGATTCTCCACACTAACGCCTTCTAAGTACCATACTCTAATGTGAACAAACTTGCATCGTGTGGTGCTCAGTCTTATCCCGGAATAACGGTCACGTCACCGGCCGGCTCCAATGGTGCGTCATCTATGGGAATACCACCCTTGAGAATATGGATGAGTATCCCGAAGATAATCCTTTTATCCACATCCGTGGAGGAGTTAGGCCCCGACGACTGATTCTCATTATTTACAGGAGAGCTTACCCCTAGTGACCGGTCGAACTCTTCCAAAAAGGAGGACGACACCGAGCTCGGAGAAGAACCACGCTCGCCATCACCGCCCGTCAATCCCCTGCCACTTCTGCTCGACGACTCCAAAGAGGACTCAACATGGATGACTGCCATTTATTACTTGAGGGAAGAAGAATGCTCTGAAGACGGAAGAAAAAGAAGAAAGAGTGAAAATGACAGCGTTCCCACCCCTATTTATAGGAAAAATTTTGTAACCGCCAATGCATCTTCACCGTCAAAAAATTCCCACAATCAACGGTCCGGATGCGAAGACACCTTAGCTCCGACCATCACGCGCACGACATGTGTTTTCCCGCCCAAACCCATTTTCGAAAATTGGAGCGCAGCAGGATTTCAACATCTTGGAACTGGTAGTCACATGGCGCACTCACCAGCACAAATCCTCGGCCAAAGACGAACGGTCCGCAAAAGGAACTCCCATACCTAAAACCAAAATATTAGTCAGCTTTTAACCCAACGTCCACTACGTGCACTAGGGCTTAGGGGTTTGTGTACCGTACGGACCGGTTCAAAGAAGACCATGTAGGATCAACCTAACCGGACGATTCCACCAAGACCGACCGACAGTTTATATGGGTCATTAAGACCATGATCAAGGTAAGTAGCGATTAGAGCTATTGGGCTAAAATTTGGTCGTGATTAACTTTTCACTAATCCCAAGCCCCTGACAAAAACTATAAATACAAGTCAAAGGTAGGTGGTAGGTACGTTGCATTTAATGCACATTTATTACTGGTCTATTGAATTGTCAAACGGTTCATATACGACTTTGGCATTGGAAGATTTTGACNGTGCACTAGGGCTTAGGGGTTTGTGTACCGTACGGACCGGTTCAAAGAAGACCATGTAGGATCAACCTAACCGGACGATTCCACCAAGACCGACCGACAGTTTATATGGGTCATTAAGACCATGATCAAGGTAAGTAGCGATTAGAGCTATTGGGCTAAAATTTGGTCGTGATTAACTTTTCACTAATCCCAAGCCCCTGACAAAAACTATAAATACAAGTCAAAGGTAGGTGGTAGGTACGTTGCATTTAATGCACATTTATTACTGGTCTATTGAATTGTCAAACGGTTCATATACGACTTTGGCATTGGAAGATTTTGACTGGTTTCCTCCTGGACGGAAGAGCAAGACAGCGGAACTTGGAGCGAGACTGGACGACAAGAAGACAAAATTGTGAAAGAGTTTGGTGACTCAGCCCCGTAACTGAAACAAGGATTATAGCAGCAACTTTAATTTTACGTGTTCCTATGGACAAGTTCTTTGAAATAGGAGAAGAACCAAATCAAGTCTCATCATATATGATATGAGCTTTGTGATTAGTGTCGGCTAAGGCAAGGTGACCCTACTGCCATTCCCATCACGCCCTTTCTGTGTGTTACCGACAGAGTAGTGTGTGCTTCCAATCGTGTGAATTTGTCTGCATGTATAGGTCAAGAGAAGAAGCTCTTGCTAGTTGTAAATGAAAATCCACAGCACACAAATCCCCATTATACATTTCTTTTTCATGTCACATTTATTGTTTCTGTAATTTGGGGTTGTATTATTGTTGAACATGTATTCCTTGCAACTCTATTTTTCTGTGGTGATTAATTTTATACATTGTGTTTATGTGCAGCGGTGGTTACAGTTGGAAACTTGGTATTGCCTTCTACTCTATACCAGATACATGTCTTCTGATTTTGTGGTTTGCAAATGGGAAACCATGCTTTAATTTCCCGTACTGTTTGGTACCCTAGACTCTAAATTTTGTTAGATTCATGGGACATTGGTCAGGGGTCCACGATACCAAATATTTGAAGGGAGCACTAATCTTTCTGTTTCTCTGCATTTTTGGTCTCTAAAATTACTCACAATCTTTCTCATAAAAATTAGTTATTTGTTTATTTGGGGATTATATACCACTTTTGACTTGGACAGTTTGTATATTGTTAAATGTAGCCAAATATGGTAAACACACATCTTCATATAGAAAAACTCTGACCAAATAATCACTGATTGTTCGGCATCTGATTTTCAACCTTCACGCATCTATAAAATAATGATTTTCTACTCATCTTACAACTGAGCCAGTGGTCAATTATAAAAAAATCCTACAACAATAATACGAGAGCCAAAACCATGTAAAAAAATGATATCACCTCTACCTCAAAATTTGAAGATAACAAGTTTATAGATCCTTTTGCTTATATCACTTAACTTTCTGATTTTTATTTATAGTTGAACTTAGATTCACACTTAAATTCCAACAGTAATTTGGTATTTCAATTCCTTTTCTTGATTGTTTATCTGAACTCTGAGGCTAAGCTTATGAATCATCCATCAGATGGTTATTTTTGCGAGTCCAATTATGCGTGTGCCCCCTGATACAAAGATTTGGGACCATTATTGATGGATAGTTCCTGACCCACCTCATTCATGAAATTTTCATAGGTTAAAACGCACCATTACTCACTTGGCCCACACCTCTTTCACCTTAACTTATTATTTGTGCATTCACTTATTTGTTTAGTTCTGGCCTCCACTTACAGTTATGCTTCACTGAATAGTAACAGACACAATAAAGAGGGAAATGGCATGGTGAAAAGTGCAAAAATTGAGTTAATCCAGCAAGTGCTTTCAGAGCTCTGACACATCTATCAGAAATGCTTGTGCTATTTGTGCACCAAACTTCAGACCCCATTTTCACAATTTCTCAGTTCAGAGAAATCAAGATAAAGTGAGTATTGAGACATGTATTTTTCTTCTTTTATTAGTTATTACTTAAAAAGGCACTGATATTAAAACAGTGCAAGGAATATTGTTCGTAAATAACATCATTGCATTGTATTTAGAATTATTTATTAGAGAGCCATGCAAACACAACATTTAAGGCACCCATCTACCCTCTTCTGCATACCATCAGCTTTTCTATGCTCTCACTAAAAAGTTTTCTGACATTAATAGTGAGAAGGAAAGTAGTTGCATTGGGAAAAAGAGAATGACAATTTAATTCAGCCAGCAAAGTGTAATTGAATGTAATCCAACAATTAAACACCATCCATTCTCTCTGTAATTGATCTATAATCTATAATTAATTGTTGCTATGCTTAATTTTCTAATCCTACCCAATTCTCCTCAGTGTCACAGTTAATTCTTCATGGAGGGACCCACTCGTTTTCTTATTTTCATCAAATTGTACTCTGTTAGGTTCCTTTATTCAGGGAACCAAAACAAAAAACCTCTCTTCTCACTCATACATTCAACAACAGAAAATAAATTGTATGTATAAGTATTTTATTCAATCTGTAGTGTAAACAAAGAAAAAAATACATACATGTAAATGTTTCTTTAAGGAAGCCTCCCTTCCTCCACTGGCCAAGAGGTCCGGTCTAAACCAAAACAAAAATACCTGATATCCCCTCTCCCTCTATTTTGTTTCTTATTTATACTTTCTCTTTACTAACAAACTAACCTCCTTTCCCGCCTTTAATTTCCTCCCCCTTATTCCTTCTCACATGTACCTTTACTTCCTAACATTACACCTTTCTGCAAAACAACCTTGTCCTCAAGGTTGGAACCGTGAAACTTGATCTCCTGACTCCTCTTTATCATCGTGTTATCATATGAAGGGAACCCACTGGCTATTGCCTTCCAATTCAAGTTTGGAGGCTTGGGTGGTGGCAAATCCTCCTCCAATGTCTTCCATTCTTCCTGGATTATATTAACTTCCAACATTTCATGAATGGACTTAGCAAGGGAAGATTCAGATAATGCCTTGCTAAAGAAGACTATGGGCCTCTTGAATTGCGACAAAACTTCATCTCTTCCAATGTCAGAAGCCTCACACTCCACGTAGAAGGTTTGGCCAAAATCGGGTAGAGCCAGTACAGGGGTTGTAGTAACAACTTCCTTGAGTTTCTGCATAGCTTCCGCTTCCATTAGGGACCACTTGAGCATTCCCTTTAACAAAGCTTCTCGGGTTAAAATTTTAGCACCCTCTAAAGAGTTCTTGTACATTATGTTAAAAAGTTCTACTACATCAAGTCTCTTTATTATATCCCTCATTTTATCCCTTTCGGTGTCTAACTGTCCCCGTGCAACTTCCAATGCCTCCACCTCAGCAATATAATCCTTTCCAGTGCTCAATATGTCAATTATGCTAACAGGCTCTCGTAGTCCACTCATCGTTGCACCACCAATAGTATCTGGTTGCTTTTGGAAGGTTGCTTCACCAACAAAAAACAAGCAGTTATCAACTAGTATCCTTAATATATCATAGTCTTCTCCTGAGGCTCCAACCGCAACATAAGAATAAGCACCATAGTTAAAAGGATTCCTACCTCAATCAGTCACAACATAGGCAACAGGATCTAGAACTATATCTTGCCCAAAAAGTTTTCGGAGAACCTTCAATGCATGTTTAACATGATCATAAGAGCTCAAGCTTTGACCATTTATGGCTGCCTTACAAACCACTAATGCAATAAGGACAGGAGCCCCAACTGTTTCCCTGACATTCCAGAACATAAAGCAATGACCTCTACTGTTTCTTTCCTCAGTTGTTGCTCCAAAGTACTCAACAGTATCATCCCAAAATACACTAGGAAATTCCAAAGCCATTTTATTTAGAACTCCATAGCCAAGACGTTGAACAAAAGAACATTTCCACTATGGCAAAGGTTGGGAGAACTGTACAGTTTCAACCTTCAAACAGCCAAGTAGAACAATAACAAGGGCAACAACACCAAACGCTTGCTTAGCAAGATGGCAGGCCCTTTCAGGTGAATTCATTATCTCATAATAAAACATAGAGAAATTTAGAGGCAGACCCAAACGAATAGGATGTGTAGGTTGTAATTCACTCTCAACAGTGGTAGCAGTTGTCTGATATGCTTTAAGTGACTGCTCTGCTACCTCATTCTTTTCATTACCAGCTTTGAATTCTGCCAAATACCAGTAATAGTCTCCTTTCATCCTATAATAAAACACCATGGACTCCGCAATATTAGTGGATGGAATAAGATGCTCATCTAACATTATCATAATGTCACTATAAATATTAGACAGCTCCAACACGACCTTGTGCCTATAATCCCTTATGCACTTAACATTCAACTCATTCCCTTTTGACTCCTCTTTCTGCTCTATCGATGACAAGATCATCCATGAATCTCTCTGTGACCTCACCACATTTTTGTATCCAACAGAGAACAAGTTCCTCTCTTCCACACTCAGCTCAATGTCCAGCTTCGCCACCTTCTTCATGGCATCCACCATTTATGCACACTTGTTTTGTTTCGTTTCTTCACTGCTTTCGATGCGTGCAATGAGCCAAATCTTGAGGCCATATTCTAAACCGTCTTCAAGAGACATTTTCATTGCTTGTTCACCTTTCTAAGCAACAACCAATACCATGTCATCCATAGGGGTATTATATTCATCTTCAAGTGCTTCATCCATATTTGCAGGAACTTTTTGTTATGTGACTATGTCATAAAAAGGGAAATCATTGTTCAACACTGTCAACTTAAGGCCCAATTGAGCATAAATCAATGAGGAAGGATCTGGTCTTCGCTTAGTGGCCACATCAGCCTCAACACCCATTATAATGCTAGGTCCAAGATCGAAAGGGACAGAAAGTGAGGAGTGATATGGTTTTCCCGATGCTTGCGGCACCAAGATTTCGAACTCCTAGATGTACTCGTCGACGCTCCCCTTTTGTCGCACCGCTGCCAGCTTCTAAAAAATGGTGCCCCGATTTAGTTTGCCAAACCTCTGCGTCAGAGCGTCGGTGAACATCTTCCAAGTCGGATGCCTGTTTTTCTTCCGCCAGAAGCGGAACCAATAGCTCGCGCCTCCCTGATGACAAATTTATGAACACCGAAAAATGGCGCCACAAACTTGTTTAACAATCGGCAAGTGTGACTGAATCGTATCAAGTAATAAAACAAGGTAAGACCAAGTATCGTTTTCCCAAAGGACTCACGGCCTAGTTTAGCTATGTGATTTGTTGATTATTTAAGACTTAAGAACAAATTGATTATAGGTTTTAATGCAAAAGACAATAACTAAACATGTATGCATGAATTTGATTAATGGTAAAGAACAAAACAAACACTTCAATGAATTATATGGATGAGTATGTTGTTGGGGTTATCAATTTTATCTTATCCACTCTCATATATTTTCAGGAATTCATCATTCTTATCATCAATGCTAATGCCACTCTCTAAATTACCTTGCAAGAAGGCCTATCCCTAATTACGAGTTCATACAATTCCTAGCATTCCTAGTAATTAGTTCTTAAAGTTCAGGAGCTTAAAGGCAACCAATATGCTATTGGGAGAAATTCCCCAGATCTAGACTTCCCCGTACGTTCCCGTATC